CCCCAAAACCCCAAAACCCCGCTAGGATAATTTTTTAAGATTTTTAAGCTTGTCAATGATATTAATTAAGAAATTAATTAGTTTAATTAGATTTAAGAATTGTCAACTTTCCTGTTACTTTCATTCAGACTATATTATTTCTGATAAAATATCTAAAGCATTAGAGTAAAATCATAGCTTCCTTATGCTTTTCATTTTGTAGCAGCTCGTCATATAGTACATTCTTTCTATACTTGAAAATCTTCTATTGTCTATTCCTTAGCTCTGCTTCGTTCTCTTCTTCCTCTTCAGGTTTTTTATAATTAGCTTTTCTATCTGCATTTGTTTCAATAGTTTCCGCACCATCCAGAGCTTATCCACCTTATAGCCTATCTTTTTATTACTATTGAATTCTTAACTTCTTCTTTCTTTTCTTATCCTTAAGATTTTACTTAAATTCTCTTTTCTTGCCTGATTCAGGATTATTTGGATCTTACGGAGTCTAATCATTTTTATCTAGACTTTCTTTGACTTCTTCATCGCCTTCGGGGTTTTTATTTCTTTCTTATGGTCCTCTCTGCTTTTTTCTATTGTTCCTTTCATGATTGTTATTTCCTAAATTTAAACTTCGATTCTTTAGGAACTTAAGTCCTCCTCTTTCACTCAGCTATCCATTAATTAAAGTAAGTTTTCTTCTTAGTTTTATCTCAATCTTACTCATTTCCTCCCTTTTATTCTCAATTATGGTTCTATTGCTAAACACTCCACCGCCATCTTGGCTCTGTATGCCTAACTCTTCTCTTCTTTGCTGGTCTAGTTTAATCTAATCAAGTCTTTCCCTTGTTGGAAAGTTTTTTCTTCTTTAGTTGATCCATTTCTGTAAATCCTCTTCCTCCTCAGGATCGAGTGGCTTTTTATTCTACTAGGTATTTTGATTTTATTAAATGTGATTATTACCTGTAGGAAGGTTTTAATTATTATTGTTGTTATTATTTTGATTGTGGTGATAGTTCTAATTATGATGCCTTCTATTTTGATTATTTTACTAATGCCCTTAATATCCATGAGGATTATATCTCTACTATTAGGTATGGGGATAAACAGGTTGCTGCTATTAAGGATAGGTGGGCTTTCGCTTATAGTCACTCTAAAGCTATTTGAAAGAATCTTGAAAATATGAAATAGCCTGTTACTAAGAATCAGAGATCTCAATTTAGACATTTGAGGCTTTATCCTCTGCAATTTATTCTTCACTCTATATAGAATATTATGGTATTTAATGGCCTTAAGCTTAGGGCTAGGTCTATTGATTACTAGCTGGAGGTTAGCCATAAGCATTAGCTGGATAAGGTTGATGTGTATAGGGATACCTCGGAGCAGTATATGGAGGGTAATATCCTGGAGCTCCTGTATAAGGATATGGAGCATGAGGATACTGATGATAAAAGTTTACTTAAAAGTTGTTATTGGTAATTGACTAAGGCTAGGTATATGGTGGGATTGAACTTGGGGCTCCGTTCATTACTTGAGAGTTTGGCGGTTATTGAGTCATGACTTCTTCACCTATGATTTATTTTTGCTGGTCTGAAATTAGCTATTAAGCATAAGAATTAGCAGCAGAGACTAGTGCATCATTATTTTTCTTAGAGAATAGGAAATTTTAAGCGAAGGTATTACCGCCAAAAGTATGCTTCAGTTTTTTCTCTCTCAGCTATTATCTTTTTCTTTCCTGCTTTTATTCCTCAGTAAGCTCTCTCTACGGAGGTCTTATATTCTATTATTACTAATGCTACTGATTGTAATGATTTGATTAAGTATTAGAGTGATAATTTTACTGCTAATTTTACTAATTTTTATTAAAATTTCGTGGTTAATGACTTTGCTACTGCTAATTGTGATAGTTTTAGGGCATTGGAGTATAGTTTTAAGTTGGATATGATGGAGGGGGGTATGTTCCCGGGTAGGGAGGGTATTAGCCAGGAGGTGGAGGTTATTGATACGCTTAATGCTGATTAGCCGGTTGATAGTTACTAGTTGGCTGTCTTGGCCTATAATTTTAATTCTACTAATGATTATGACTCTGATTAGTACTTGGCTATTACTGATAATTGCTCTGCTATTGCTAATGACGAGGCTAGTTGTAATTTTACTTGGGTCTAAATGGTCTTGGACCTGAGTTATATGGGGGCTTAGATTGATTTTATTGATAATGAGGATTTTAGGGAAAGCTGAAGGAGCTTGCAGGAGCACCTCCTGAAGTGCTTGTATTTGCACTCGGATTTGTGTTACCTTGATTTTAAGATTGACTCATTTTATTTTATACAATAAATATTTATTACAATTTTCTAGATCTCTTATATATAGTAGAACTATGGGGTTTTGGGGTTTTGGGGTTTTGGGG